TTCAATTAACATATTTAAGTCAATGCTACTAAATTTTATAACTTCGTGATAAAATATTTTTTTTGCAAAGAAATTGAAAATATTGATTTTTAAAAAAGAAATATTTAAAATAATATTAAATATTGATTATTTTCTGTATTGACTATATTGAATATTGAAGTATCATATTAATTTTTTCGTATAATTTTAATATTCGAAAATAATTAATTCATTTAAATAAAATATATAGAGAAAAATAAATATGATATTATTTTCTAATTTATCATTTACAACACTTACAGAGAGTAATTTATCATAAAATATTTTTGTATGTTCTGATAAAAAAATTTTTTTTTAAATTTTTGTATATAAATGTATATAATGAAATAAACTTAAGTAAAAAAATTATATTTTTACAAATCAATTTTCTATTTTAACTTAAATAATAATGATGGAAAATAATAACAAAAATCTTTACATCATTAATCATTATTTGTCAGTTATGGATTTTGTCTGTTATTTATTTCTAAAGCTTTCAAATGAATATAAAAATTTTTGAATGATTAAATCCATTACTGTGCTCGTTACACACTTTGAATGGATTAGTATTGTTAATATTTGACAACGAAAACTAATTTAATTATGTGTTCGACAGCAAATAAATTAGCATCATGTCAAACATTACTACAGAATCCTACAAAATCAACATGGCCCTGAGGGTATCAAAAATATGAAATCGTAATCAAGTAATAAATAAAAGATTTATATGGTGTCAGAAATTTGTTTAGTGCTTCTAATTGATATTTAATAAATAAACATTTCGGTTGAAATTATGTTAACGTATAGTAATTCTTTTCAGTTTTTTAAACTGAATTTTCCATTCTATTTCATCAAACGGAACTCTCATTTAAGGTACGATATGTTTTACTTAAGGCTTTCTATTTTAAAATAGGGATCGTTAAAACAACCACTTGAGAAATAAAATTTTGATATATTAGTATTAGTATTATTATTAGTATTAGTATTATTATTAGTATATATTATATATATAATGGCCATTATATTAGATATAAAGGCCATTTGTTATGACTTCGAGATTTCTTCAGTAATGAGACTAATGTTTCGCTAGAAAAATATAGTAACGAAGTAAATTGTGTCATATCGTAAATTAAACTAGAAAAATCAAAAACTAACTGTAGAATGATAGCATTCACATAAAGTCATTCTATGGTATCATATTTGATATGAAGGATCCGAAAGCACCTACGTTCTAAAAATATAAAAATTGTGACAACTTAATCAAACTGATCACAACAGTAGAGCAACATGATTACTAATTTTTTTCGCATAAGCTGGAAATAAAAAAATATGATTATATATTAGAACAATGTTTTAAAATATTATTATCAAAAACATTGAAACAATGAATTTTTTTATGCATTCCATATGCAATTGAAATATACATTTTAAAAACTTTACCATTACTATTTCCTGTATTCAGTTATAAAATGTTAATTATATGTACATATGTATGGAAATTATTTGTATACATAATATTTCAGTTTGTTACTGAAATGTTATTTTATATTTTGCATTCAAAATAGTTATTTCATTTTCAACATTCTTATTCATATAAAATAAAAATGTATAGAGAAATAGCAACTTACTGAAGCCAAAATAGTATAAATAATATATGTATTGCTGCAGAAGTACTTGAATTATGCGGAAAAAATCATCACAGACCAATAAGTATTGATTGCAAAAAATTTGCATGGAATTAATATATATAAAATTGAGATTCGCAGATAATATGCAGATAATATACAACACAAAAGATACAATGTAGTGAAAGTACTTGCAAAATTGGAATCGGTACTTCTTTTATATCTGCTCATTTTATATTAAATATATTTAATTAAGTATATTTTTCTTTAAACTTATCACCGAATTAGTCAAATAACAATGAAACTAAATGAAAGTTAAACAAACATTTTAACGCATAAAAGGCAAATGCTAACAGAGCGCCTTAGGCAATTATCCTTTTTATGATTTATTTGCAATGTTTGTTTAGCACAAAATTAAACTGTTTCAGTGCAGTGTAATAAAGATAATGTGTATCATAAACCTTAGCATTCGCCCAGCTTCAAATAATCACAGTTTTTAGCAATTTTTTTTTCAACTTTTTGCGCAATTGACAGCCTCGTTAACTTTTTAAGACAACTTTTTGGCCAGCGAGAGAATTAAGTCATAATTTTCATGTTAAGGATAATCAAATAAAGGACGTGAAATATGCTTTAAGAAATTTTGAGAAGTTCGTGGAAAAAAATCAACACAAAATTTATTACCAGAAATTAATTCAACTTAGTCTTATGTGATATGGCATAAAAGCTGATAACAAACAATCCTTGAAATAAATATGAGGAAAATGATGATTTATTATGAAAAAGTTACAAACAACAGTAAAGATTAAAAGGCTAATAAAAAAGTTTAAAAATATTTAAATAAATAAGATTTAAAGTCCTTTAAATAACACCAACTAGGAGGGCTACATAAAGAACTCATTTTAGTTATTACAATATTGACATAAACTAAAATATTGCAAAATATTCAAATAATTTATTACAAAAAAATAAAATATTAAATTGCTTGCAGTTGACAATGCAAATAAGAGGACTTCTACAGCAAATTATTTTATATGAAATTTTTCCGAACTGAAAATTATAAATTGTTTATCAATAATATATACTAATATCACAATTAATAAAATATTTAAATTTTCTTCATTAGATGTTGAATACGTTTTAATGTATTCCTGAATTAACTGATTTTTATCCGCTTATAACTGAATTTTTTTTATCCAATTAAGTAATTATTATGCAGCTAAGTTTTCATATTTTATTTTGGCAAACATTTTATTTCTGAATATAAGATAATTTATTTTAACATATATGAATAATAATTATGATGTTTTTATGTGTTAGATATAAAAATTTATATTATCAAAAGACTTTTTAAAATTTTAAAAACTGTTATATAAAAATTATTAATTTTAAATTAACTAAAATTTTGTATATAATTATTTAACTTAAATTTAATTATTTAAATTAAATTTAATTATTTAAGTTAAATTTAATTATTTGATTTTAATTTAATTATATAAATTTAATTTAATTTTAGAAACTTTTTAATTTTTAGTAATGTAATAACAACCTTAAAAAAGAAATTTTAATTATATGTAAATGAAGAAAAATAAATTGTGTCTAATTATTAGTCAAGCAATTCTTGAATATCAAAATTTTATACCTCTCATATAAATCAGATGTTTTCAACCACTGTTTATGGTAGACCCCATGTAAAACTTTGCATGAGATGTCATCACTAACAAACTTTTTATTTTGCTGTTTTCTTTGAGTCTGAAAATGTAAAATTATC